GTGTGTGTGTGTGTAAGAGTGTGTGTGTGTGTGTATGGGATTGTGTATATGTGTGTGGTGTGTGTGTGTGTGTGTGTGTGTACTCACCTATTTGTACTCACCTATTTGTGGTTGCAGGGGTCGAGTCATAGCTCCTGGCCCCGCCTCTTCACTGATTGCTACTAGGTCCTCTCTCTCCCTGCTCCATGAGCTTTATCAAACCTCGCCTTAAAACTATGTATGGTTCCCGCCTCCACTACGTCACTTTCTAGGCTATTCCACGGCCTGACTACTCTATGACTGAAGAAATACTTCCTAACATCCTTTTGATTCATCTGAGTCTTCAACTTTCCAATTGTGACCTCTTGTTTCTGTGTCCCATCTCTGGAACATCCCGTCTTTGTCCACCTTGTCTATTCTGCGCAGTATTTTATATGTCGTTATCATGTCTCCCCTGACCCTCCTGTCCTCCAGTGTCGTCAGTACGATTTCCCTCAACCTCTCTTCGTAGGACAATCCCCTTAGCTCTGGGACTAGTCTTGTTACAAACCTTTGCACTTTCTCTAATTTCTTGACGTGCTTGACCAGGTGTGGATTCCAAACTGGTGCTGCATACTCCAGTATGGGCCTGATGTAAATGGTATACAGAGTCTTGAACGATTCCTTACTGAGGTATCGGAATGCTATCCGTAGGTTTGCCAGACGCCCGTATGCTGCAGCAGTTATCTGATTGATGTGCACCTCAGGAGATATGCTCGGTGTTATACTCACCCCCAGATCTTTTTCCTTGAGTGAGGTTTGCAGTCTTTGGCCATCTAGACTATATTGTGTCTGCGGTCTTCTTTGCCCTTCCCCAATCTTCATGACTTTGCATTTGGCAGGGTTAAACTCAAGGAGCCAGTTGCAGGACCAGGCTTGTAGCCTGTCCAGTTCTCTTTGTAGTCCTGCCTGATCTTCGTCCTATTTTATTCTTCTCATTAACTTCACATCATCTGCTAACAAGGACACTTCTGAGTCTATCCCTTCCGTTATGTCATTCACATATGCCAAAAACAGCACAGGTCCTAGGACTGACCCCTGTGGAACCCCACTTGCCACACGCACCCACTCTGACACCTCGTCACGTACCATGACTCATTGTTGCCTCCCTGGCAGGTATTCTCTGATCCATTGCAGTGCCTTTCCTGTTATGTGTGCCTGATCCTCTAACTTTAGCAGTAACCTCTTGTGAGGAACTGTGTCGAAGGCCTTCTTGCAGTCCAAAAAAAAAAAATGCAGTCGATCCACCCCTCTCTCTCTTGTCTTACTTCTGTCACCTTGTCATAAAACTCCAGTAGGTATGTGACACAGGATTTTCCTTCCCTGAAACTGTGCTGGTTGTCAATTATACACTTGTTTCTTTCCAGGTGCTCCACCACTCTCCTCCTGATGATCTTCTCCATGACTTTGCATACTATCCACGTTAGTGATACAGGTCTGTAGTTTAATGTCTCATGTCTGTCTCCCTTTTTAAAAATTGGGACTACATTTGCCATCTTCCATACCTCAGGGAGTTGCCCAGTTTCGATGGATGTGTTGAAGATCTTTGTTAATGGTACACACAGCATCTCTGCTTCCTCTCTAAGGACCCATGGAGAGATGTTGTCTGGTCCCACCGCCTTTGAGGTGTCAAGTTCACATAGCAGCTTCTTCACCTCCTCCTTGGTTATGTGTACCTCATCCAGCACTTGTTGGTGTACCCCCCTGTTCTGATTTCCTGTAGTCCTGCTGGTTTCCACTGTAAATACTTCTTTAAATCTCGTGTTGAGCTCCTCACATACCTCTCGGTCGTTTCTTGTGAACTCCCCATCACCCTTCCTCAGTCTGATTACCTGGTCCTTGACTGTTGTTTTCCTCCTGATGTGGCTATACAACAGCTTCGGGTCAGACTTGACTATCGCTGAGCCTCCCTTCTTATATGTGCATATTCGTTTCTGGCTCTTCGGCTAATCTCTTTATTTTCCTGAGTTCCCCTGTTTTGTATTTTTTCCATTCTCTAGTAACTAGTTTTTGCCTCCCTACCCCTTTGGGTGAAACAAGGACTCTTCTGTTCTTCATTATTCTGTTTCCCTTGAGGAACAAACCTCTCCTTGCCTCTTTTGGCATTTGTTGTCACATAGTCCATATTTTTGTACGGTTTTCTGTCTGAGAAAATTCCGCTCAAAATGAATGTCTGCAAGAAATTTCTCATCTGAGAAAGTTCCCCTTTGTAGTTTGGTTTTCCCATCCATTCTGCTACTCTCTCAATGAAGCTAACTATGTGTCAAAGCACAGAACCCAAGAAATCCCCTAGCCAAAGGCCAATAACTTATTCCCGATTTATAAATATATTACGTTTTCTGTAAAACTCAACAGTCATGGCACGCCAAATCTCAGCATGTTGCACGCCTTAACTCATGTTGACAGTCCACAGGTGACTGAGCTGCTATCACTCTGTGCACTTGAATGTAGTCCACAGAGAAGTTACCTTGTAGTGTATTTAGAATGAAATAATCATAAACACACTTTAAGTAGACGATACTTATCTTAAATGATGGCTCAACGTCCCTGTAGCCTCCCCTGGGGTCATTTCTTTAGGAGCTGTCACTGTTCCAGCTCCTGGGCTGTGGGAATTCAACTAAGCATAAGCACATAATTGCCCCAAAGGAGTGTATATTTCAGCATTTCAATTTCATAATGCTGAAGAGATGGACACTTACTTTTTTGGGCTCAATGGCTCACAGATAATGAGTTGTATCGGTAAATCTAGACATGATACGACCTAACTATCTGCTGTGCAGCCCACCTAACTAGGTGCATGACTTTCTAGACTTACCTGGGTATTTGTATTGGACCCGCTAGTTTTTCCCTGGCTTGTGGCAGGGAAAGTATTCTGATATCAGTGTCTCAGCATTAGTGTCTCACAGTTGCACTGTTTCTATGACCGAAGATTGTTCGCAACACACACTGTTACATTACACCAGGATCAGGAAGACCTGTCCCACTGTGTCATAGTTCTATCTCGAATTGTTGAGAGTGTCACGTAAAAGGTCGAGAACGCACTGTACTATAGTTCCTTTGTCCATTCTTATTTTAATAATAATAATATCTTTATTTACTACAAGTACATGTACAAGGTATACAGTCCTAGCTAACATCAATAACATACTACTATATAGAAAGCCCCTTGTTGTGCTGAGCATTTCGGGTAAATTAGGTCAGTTTTATCCCAGGATTCGACCCACACCAGTCGACTAACACCCAGGTATCCATTTTATTGATGGGTGAACATAAACAACCAGTGTAAGGAAGCACGTCCTATGTTTCCACCCCTTCACCAGGAATCGAACCCGGACATTCGCCATGTGAAGCGAGAGGTTTTGCCACCAGGCCACGGGGGACCTTTCGTGAAGCACGATTCTCCTTCCGTATCTGAAAGCACTCTGAGCCCTGCCGTGGGCTTCGTCCAAGAGCACGGCACTCATATTGCAATGAACACTGTGTTGGAAAAGGAGGCGACGTGACTACGCCCTGGTACACTCTGGTAATTCATTTGCTTCAAATTAAACTGTTGATCGGAAGCAAGAGGCCATTTGCCTCTGCTGGGAAGGTTGAGTCTCTTAGGGGGCTGAAAGGGGCTGAAGGGGAGAATTTTCTCTACACACACGAATTGGCATGATGTCCTCTTGGTGACAGCAAGAAAAAAAATTACATTCTTTGAATAAGATATTTAGAAATATGATAGAAACAAGCTGATTGCATCAACATGTTCCCAGAATTATGCTCTATTTTTCGATAAGAAAACATTTTTTTTCAATAATTTTTCGATTTTTTTTATCTCTCCTGGAACCTTCGTCGTCCCCTAAGTTACCATATAGAGACTACCGGGCACAGGCCTCCCACGGGGCATGACACATGTGGTGTCAAATAGTAAGTAAGTTTATTTAGGTACAGGTGCACATAAATATAGTTACACAAATTATCCTACATATCAGCATATGTGTAGATTACCTGGGATAACCTTCAAAAAAGTCAAAGTGGCATATTTCCTATAGGGAACAACAATGTCGGTACTAAGCTACTTACACTAATATTCCAAGCCTAATCTAACTGTATAAACCACAGTCTTAGACTAGGTTCTAGCTTACTAATGGCTTACCACTAATTAGCCTTACAATCAAGATTTGGGGCGGTGGCATAGTACGTGGCAGTACTCACAAGCCTCACCAAGGGTATGGCTCACTCTCACACCCACTGTTGTTTGCTATGCACCCACTGTTGTTTGCTATGCACCCACTGTTGTTTGCTATGCACCCACTGTTGTTTGCTATGCACCCACTGCTGTTTGCTATGCACCCACTGTTGCTCGCTATGCACCCACTGTTGTTTGCTATGCATCCAGTGTTGTTTGCTATGCACCCACTGTTGTTTGCTATGCACCCACTGTTGTTTGCTATGCACCCACTGTTGTTTGCTATGCACCCACTGTTGTTTGCTATGCACCCACTGTTGTTTGCTATGCACCCACTGTTGTTTGCTATGCATCCAGTGTTGTTTGCTATGCATACAGTATTCTTTGCTATGCACACAGTACTGTTTTGCCACTTACCCAGTGTTGTTTGCTATACACATGGTATTGTTTTGCTATGTACTCAGTGCTGTTTGCTATGTTGTTTGTCTCATCTGCTCGGTGCACGTTTCTGTTACAAACTACCAAGCTTCCAGCTATCTTGCTAGTGATAACGATATGCCACTTCCTGTAAAAGCTGTTATTATTCCTGAAGTGTCGTCAGGGAACTTCCCTATGGTATGCCACAACCTTCCATCCGCATCCCCCAAGCATGTGATACACTACAGTCTACTACACCCAGGTACCAATTTGCTGTTAGATGAAAAGGGAGGCAACAGATGTAATAGGACTTGCCCGTGAGTCTTCTTGGAGGAAAACAAGAAAAAAAAGGTCGGAGTTTAACTGAGAGGGGAGTGGCGGCTTCATCACAGAAGGATGGAAGTGAGGAGGATCCACAACGTACAGCAATTAATTACCAACTTGCAACCTCCTAGCAATATTTGTCTTGCAATGGAAGTTCTGTGCTCCTCTCTAGCATTCACAGGTCGGGAGTCAGCGGTGTTGTATTCAGCTCCTCAGGTGGGTCACTAGCACTGTTGCATTCTGTTCTTCGGGTGGGTCACTAGCAGTGTTGTATTCTGCTCCTCCTGGAGGTTACCTGGAGGTTATTCCGGGGATTAACGCCCCCGCGGCCCTGTCCATGACCAGGCCTCCCGACGGATCAGGGCCTGATCAACTAGGCTGTTACTGCTGACCGCACGCAGTCCAACGTACGAGCCACAGCCCGGCTGATCCGGCACTGACTTTAGGTATCTGTCCAGCTCTCTCTTGAAGGCAGCCAGAGACTTATTGGCAATTCCCCTAATGCTTGATGGGAGGCTGTTGAACAGTCTTGGGCCCCGGACACTTATGGTGTTTTCCCTTAGTATACCAATGGCGCCCCTACTTTTAATTAGGGGCATTTTGCATCGCCTGCCCAGTCTTTTACTTTCGTAGGGAGTGATTTCTGTGTGCAGATTTGGAACCATTCCTTCCCGGATTTTCCAAGTGTAGATTATGATATATCTCTCTCTCCTGCGTTCCAACGAGCACAAGTCAAGTGCTTCCAAGCGTTCCCAGTAGTTAAGGTGCTTGACAGAACTTATACGTGCAGTAAAGGGTCTCTGTACACTCTCTAGATCTGCGATTTCACCTGCTTTGAATGGAGATGTTAATGCACAGTAGTATTCCAGCCTAGAGAGAACAAGTGATTTGAAAAGGATCATCATTGGCTTGGCATCTCTCGTTTTGAACGTTCTCATTATCCATCCTATCATTTTCTTTGCACGTGCGATCGTGGCACTGTTGTGATCCTTGAAAGTGAGATCCTCAGACATTACTACTCCCAGGTCCCTTACATTATTTTTCCTCTCTATTGTATGGCCAGAGTCTGTAGTTTACTCTGTTCTAGTTATTATCTCCTCCAGTTTTCCATAACGGAGTAGTTGGAATTTGTCCTCATTGGGTGGGTCACTAGCAGTATTATATTTTGCTCCTCAGGTGGATCACCAGCAGTATTGTATTTTGCTCCTCAGGTGGATCACCAGTAGTATTATATTTTGCTCCTCAGGTGGATCACCAGCAGTATTGTATTTTGCTCCTCAGGTGGATCACCAGCAGTATTGTATTTTGCTCCTCAGGTGGATCACCAGCAGTATTGTATTTTGCTCCTCAGGTGGATCACCAGCAGTATTATATTTTGCTCCTCAGGTGGATCACCAGCAGTATTATATTTTGCTCCTCAGGTGGGTCACTAGCAGTGTAGTATTCTGCTCCTCAGGTGAGTTACTAGCGGCGTTGTATTGTTATTTAATAAAAAATTGAAAGAGGACATAGAAGGACTGGTGTTCTTATTAGTTGGTAAACACAGTTCTGGTTTGAAACATGTTTAAAATTCATTATCAGAGAAGAGATAGTAAGCGTGTCTCAAGAAATTAGATGAGTACAGATAGAAATTATCATATGCATTGTTGATCATAATAAAACGTTTGTTTAGATCAGTGGTATATAATAAAGACTAGCTGATGAATAAGAAACATGTACAATACCTGGGTATCTTTATTAAGTTTGTTTGAAGGGGCACCTTTAAGGGGTTGCCAGAGATTTGTCTTTTCTCTTCCTTCAACTTTTCGTTTTTATTTTGCTTTTAGCACTAAAATGCCTCATTGGTGTACGGTGACTAAATATTTATATTCTACCGATGAAGCGGCTAGTTTATTGTGCACACAATATCCGTCTTGTGGACGGTAGCTCTTTTCAGGCTTGGGAAGTATCCTTCAGAAGGGTTAGCAGGATTACATCCTTATTTATATTTACAATTGGCTTATCAGTTCCAGGCAAATTAAGAAATTTTTCTTAATGTATCTAGTATTTTATTTTCATTAATAACTTGACATATGACATAGGTTATTATACACTCTATATATTCCTCAGTAAGTGAACATTACTGCACATAGTGTTCAAGATAGTAACCAGAGAGCTAACAGCATAATTTGCATTTAGTTTGATCATTACTTGTTTCTGGCAAACTGCCAGAAGTACTTGTAACCAAGCCTAAGTCTGGCCACTACAACATCAGTCAGTCTACTTAGGCTTCTAACTGCATTCTTATGACATTTAGTGACATTATTTACTACTCTCCTAATATTATTCCTAATGCTAGACAGTCATACTATAGTTGCAGTCTACATTTTCCATCAGGGTACTTTTCTTTGGCTAACTTATCATATTTATCATGAAGGATTAATTCAGCGTGGGTTGAAATCCATAAAAATTGTACATTAATTCCTTTTTCCCGGATTTTTGAGCATTTATGTCTAGCTTCTCCAATGAGCATTTTGTCAGAGTCAATATGTGAGTCAAGAATCTTCAGTGATGACATAGAATCAGTAATAATCATACAGTCAAGCTCACTGACATAAGTTAACTTTAGTGCCATTAGCATGGCAAACAATTTAGTTTGCCCAGTTGTTAGTTCTTTTGCCTACTTAAACAAAGTTCCTGTCACTCTTATAAGGGAGATGGTAACAAGAGCAATTTATAAAATTTAATATAATTACAAGTTTTCAAGGCCATTTAAGTCCGTGCTTATTTACTTCGAGGCTTTTAGTAAGAGTTGTATTGACAGTGTCTTGTTCATTTCTTAATATTCTAATCCCAAGTACAGGGCCAGGAGCTGTGACTCAACCCCTGCAACCACAAACAGATAAATACAGTTAATCTCAATAATCCTATCACTGATACTAGATACACCAAGTTCCTTCTTCATATTAAGAACCTCGATAAATTTAGGACAGCCAAGAATAATTCTGAGGGCTTCATTTTGCATTAGTTCCTAGGGTCGGAGTAAACTTTCCCTAGTTAATACTAACATGGGAGCAGCATAATCAGTTAAGGATCTAATATAGGCTATGTACATCATTCTCACTATTCTCACATTAGCACCATAGTTGGGGTTGTAGCCAGTAACAACTCTGAGGGCACTGAACCTGTCTTTGCATTTCTTCTTTAGTTGTAGTATGACGGATTTATTGAAGGGTACATCTACACCAAGATATCAGGTACTCTTCTTATGCTCTGTTGTATGAATCATGAATTCCTCAGGATAGCTTATACATATGCATATAGGAGAGCAGTAATCCAGACATTAATTAGGACATGAAATTTCAAAAGTAGGACATTAAATAGCAGGGACATTTCTAAGGCAAGACATTAAATAGCAGGAACATTTCTAAAGGAGGACATTTAGTAAACAGAGTTAAGTTCGAGGCAGTTACGGTGAAAAGCTCTGTTCCACAAGGCAGAGTACTCGCTCCCATCCTGCTCCTCATCCTCACATCTGACATAGACGGAGATGTAAGCCATAGCTCCGTGTCTTCCTTTTCAGACGATACCCGAATTGCAAGGCTCCAAGCTGACATCAACCAAATCTTCAAATGGGCCACTCAAAACAATATGAAGTTCAACGAAGAGAAATTTCAACTACTCAGATATGGAAAACTTGAGGAAATTAATACTATGTCAAGGTATACAACAAATTCTAATCATACAATAGAGCGAGAAAGTAATGTGAAGGACCTGGGAGTGATAAAGACCACAACAATGTATCTACCGCATCTCCTAGAAAAATGATAGGATAGATAATGAAAACCTTCAAAACTAGGGATGCCAGATCCATGACGATTCTCTTCAAATCGCTTGTTCTCTCTAGGCTGAAAGTCTGCTGTGCCCTAATTGGCCCCTTCAAGGCAGGCGAAATTGCTGACCTGGAGAGTGTACAAAGAACTTTCACGGCACACATAAGTACGATAAAGCACCTAAATTACTGGGAATGGTTGAAGTCCCTTGATTTGTATTCTCTGGAACCCAGACGGGAAAGATACATGATAATATACACTTGGAAAATCCTTGAGGGATTATTACCAAACTTGCAAATGAAAATCACTCCCTACGAAAGCAAAAGACTCGGCAGGAGATGCAACATTCCCCCAAAGAAAAGCAGGGGCGCCACGAGTACATTGGGAGACAACACAGTAAGTGTCAGGGGCCCAAGACTTTTCAAATGCCTCTCAGCATATATAAGGGGAATTACCAACAGACCCCTGACTGTCTTCAAGAAGGCGCTGGACACGCACCTAAAGTAAATACCTGACCAGCCGGCCAGGTACTTATTTTAGGTGCTTACTTTGCTGCACGCAAACTGACCAGTCAGTTTGCCTGCAGCCAGCAGTAACAGCCTAGTTTATGAGACCCTGATCTACCACGAGGCTTGGCCTCAGACCGGGCCGCGGGGGCGTTGACCCCAGAAACCCTCTCAAGGTATACTCCAGCAGGGATTAAAACAAGTCGCTCCTGCCTGTGCCAACTACGGGACCAGTTGGGTGCTCTGGAGGACAAACAAAATGCAAATGTAGTATACACAGACCATGGAGTAATAGTGCACAAAATGCGCGATAAAGGAATAGGAGGAAGACTTGGTAAATGGATCTATAAATTCCTAACAAATAGAACACAAAGAGTAATAGTAAACAGAGTAAAGGCACAGTAATCGTTCCCATCCTGTTAATCACCCTCATATCAAACATAGAGATGTAAGCCACAGCACCGTGTTTTCCTTTGCGGATGACACCCAAATCTGCATGACGGTGTCATCTATCGAAGACACTACAAGACTCCAAATGGACATCAACCAAATCTTTAAATGGGTCACAGAAAACAATATGAAGTTCAGTGAAGGAAATTTCAATTACTCTGATATGGGAAACTAGAGGAAATTGAGACTGTATCTGAGTATAAAACAAATTCCAGCCACACGAAATAGCGAGAAACTAATGTGAAGGACCTGGGAGTGATAATGTCAGAGAATCTCACTTTCAAAGATCACAACAATGTATCTACCACATCTGCTAGGAAAATGATAGGATGGATAATAAGAACCTTCAAAACTAGAGATGCCAAGTCCATGCTGATTCTCTTCAAATGGCTTGTTCTCTGTACGCTGGAAATTGCAGACCTGGAGAATGTACGGAGAAGTTTCATGG